ACTGCAGCAGTGGCACACCAAAGTTAAGCAAAGACAAAGAGACAAAAGCCAGCACAATTTTCACTTCAAGTGCTTTGTTTGACGCTGCGGCTGATGGCTGATGGCTTGATGCCTGAACTGGGTTGAGTTGCTCCACCCCACTTCACTTGACTCCACTCCACTCCACTCCGATCCACTCCTTTCTGCCTCTGTACTGGCACTGCACTGTTTTGTTGGGGTAAAAACTTTGGGCACGCACGGGCAATACTTTTCACTTTGTTCGTACTTAACGCTTACTTTCAACGCAGAGACAGCTCCGTCGCCTTCATAAAGGAGCGCCACTCTGCTCCTCCTCCTGCCCGGCAATAAAAAAATAATTTAACAGTTTTTGGCCCGCAGGCAGCAGGCCGCCATTTCAGCCAAATATCCCAAACATCCTACCGACCAGCTCCCAGCTTCCAGCGCCCAGCTCCCAGCTACCCCAAAAGAATAAAAGGGGAACTATCTGCTCCCCACATACATATGTATGTATGCACGTTGGGGGAACACAGGATGGAGCTCAGAGGGATTTTGGAGCATTCTGCCCAAGCACACGCAATGGGCTGCAAAACAGTTTTTGGACATTTCCGAATTGCGAGCGAGATTTGTTCGCCAGATGCGATGCCGCCGATATTGGGGGTTCTGAAAGTGGCCTGTGGAAAGTTTCAAGGTTGCTGAGGGGAAAATGGGAAATGGTAAATGGTAAATGGGTGGTAAATGTTTTCATACCCCCCCCTACACCCACCCCTTTGTGTAAATATCTGCCTTTTCTTTATCTGACATCGCATCGCTGCGGGTTGTTGCGCGCCGTTAAAGCTGAAGTTATGACCGCCAGGCCGTAGGCCCAAAACTTTTCATTTTCATTTTGAGCCCACCGCAGCAGCGGCGCCACAAAAGTCAAAAAGTAGCCGGCAGCGATACTACTGAGTTATTTGCCGATTATGTAACGAATTAATTAACGCCGCACTTCGTAACGATGCCAAGAATCGGGCTTACGTAGCTCTCGACTTTGCCCCACGTGCACCCAAAACATAATTACGAATTTAGTTTAGCACACTCAATAAACGAAAATAGATGTACTATTAAAAGGAAGGTTGAGCAAACCAAAATGTTCGCTTCACTTCAGGGAACTTAGCTTGCAAAGTAAATATTTTAGACCATTAACTATCGCTAAATAACACACTGTACAGCGTAGTGTTATTGCTGAAACTGAACAAAGTGAAGGGATAATACTGTAAACTCCTTGTAAATACACAGCTCTGTTGCCATTGATGGGCCAAAATTCGGAAAAGACTGTTATACAATTACCATTATGAATGACAGGATTTTTCCTAAGGCTGTCATAGTATATAAATCGTTCGATTCTGGTCAAATTCAACTATGGAGGAGGGGTTAGGAGCGCTTGTGGTCAAATGGAATGGAAAGAAACTGTCGGTCATTGCAGTTGTTGTAGTGCTTACTCAACTTTTCGAGCGACCGCAAAATCTGTTATTAGTGTCAAGTGGACTTGTGAGACACTTTGCACTCTGGCCACCATTTCCCCTCATCCCGCCGACATTGTCAATCTACCCTGGTTCCTCGAATCCTTGGATCCTTGGATGCTTGGATGCTTGGATCCCCGAGTTCCTGGCCACCCATAGTTGGATTAATACGAATTTGCGGCTCTGGTGGAAAACTTTTGTGTGAGTTGTTGCAAAATATTAAATTGCGGTAAAAGTGGGGGGCTTTATAGGTTTAAAGTGCGCTGAGGGAGCATTTTGCACTCTTACACTTGCTCAAAGTATAGTCGATAGTTCGATTTAAAAGTTGAGACTCGCTCCTTAAGTTGTCATCACATAAAAGAGAGAAGAGCGGGAAAAGCGGGAAATGCGGCAAAAGTGGGAAAATCAGGGAAAGCGCCCTGCTGGGACCCCAAAACTTTGCCACACATATAGGCGACAAGTGGCGGACGCAGGGCGCGAGGTCAATCAAAATCAATTTGGCTTCTGCCTGCCACAATGCCTCGCTGCTCCAATAATCTTGTACTGCAGATTTAACAAGGCGCACATGATTTTAATGGACACACGGAAAGAAATGGGCTGCAGAACTGTCAGCTCTTAAAACACACACTTTGAAATCTAGTTGGCACAACCAGATTTTAAGTTATTTGATGTTTAGTAACTATAAAAAGGCTCCTCGCTTTGACGGCACTATTAGAAAAAAGTATATACTGTTTGAAACGATTTGTACTAAATAATCATTTTCATAATTCCATGTTCTCATAGATAGTTAACATCGATTAATAAGTGGGTGATAATTTAATACAAAATTAATTTTGCATAAATATAAAACCATATATATCGAGGTAATTGGGAAAGCGGAAAGTGTAAAGCGCATTCCTTTGTGAGAATGCAAACAGCCTTTTGGCCGAATGCAAAATGTATATAGTTTTGTGCTTTTGTTTTTATCTGCGCAGCTCATCCGGGGTTTCCCTTTTTAAAAGCCTACGTTCAGAGTGAAGTGCAATTGCGTACGTTTGCGTTCTCCATTCCTCAATTCGCAGTTCGATCAATATTTTTGCTTCGCACTTGAGCACTTGACGCGGGCAGTGGAGGGCAATCCTTTCAAGGCCATTCAATCAATCAATAAGCCGCTCAATGTCTGAGCAGCGACATTAACAACAACAGAACACTTGATTTCAAGCTCAAAGGGGTTCCAATCGAGCAATTCTTTCGCCGTAAGCTGTCTGCATTCATAGGCCCGAAGCGGCGACTTCTGGCTGGGATTCCGGATTCCGGAGGAGGAGCAGCAGAAACTGAAGCAGATGGAGTGGAAAGTGGGCAGTGGGAATGGATATGGGAATGGGAATGGGCCAAGGTAAAAGCGGTCTTCAGGTGCATTGTTGTCGCATTCGGAGCGACAAACAAACAACAGCTGCCGTGGATCTTGGAACCCGAACCACTCAACCTCTGACCCTGGAACTGTAGCTCTTTCGTCGGCAAAACAGAAACTGAAGCACAAAACTCTCTGACATTTCTGCGGCTTCAGTGACACAATGATACAACAAGCTAACAACAATGCGGGGCAGGCATTCATGACTAAGACTTTGACTAAGAATAAGAATAAGACGACAACAACGACGATGATGACGACGACGACGACGACGATGGGGCTTTTGAATTTATGAGCGTATTTAATTAACCAACAAGGACGAAAAGCAAAAGCAGCTAGGACATAAGTCTACGAATCAGCATCAGCTGAAGCGGCAGCTGTTGGCTGTGATTGATTGATTGAGGCATCGCCTGAGTGGCATCGCCTGAAGTGCGGCATATTTAATTTGGCACCGGCAAGTGGGTGGGTGGATCGGTGGTTGGCCACCGCCAACGCCAACGCCTTCATTCCGCTCCATTCAAAGTCAAAGTCAATGCCCATAATGCCGAAATGGCCATTCAAAATGTGGCTGATTTATTATGTGTTAAGACAACAGATTTACTTGGATTGTTCTTGGATGTTTTAAGCAAGAGATGAGTGTATGCAACCGTCCACCCATCCATCTATCCATCCATCCATCCATCCATTCTGGCGTTCATCCATCCATCCATCCAGCGCTTGATCGACCTGCTAGACACCTCCAGGATGCGACGCGGGCAGCAGATTGAGTGAAAAAAGTTCCTTAAGCGGCACAGAAGGTGGGGCAACTGTCGACAGAAGGATTTGGCAATTGATGCGAGAGGCAAGTGGCAAGTGGCGAGTGTCGAGTGGCGGAGTATCCTCTGAATAAATACCTAGGCAAGTCGACATGCAGAGCCACTGTAAATCGCAGCTGACCCCGGTGAAATTGGAGGGCTAGAGCTAGAGCGACTGCAGGTAAATCTAAGCTGAGATTAAATAAATTATCGCATCTTCAACTATGAATTCAGATTCTTTTTGTTTTGTTATTTCCGCCAGCCAGTCTACTTATGCAGAATATATATCATTGGCGCCAATTCCCGGCAGATTTTCCCCATATTATTGTCTTATTTAAGTTGCATTAGTATCTTATTTATGGCCACTCGATGCCTCCTCGTAGTGTGAATACATTTGCCCTGGGCCGAAACTTTTTGCCACCACGGCGTATACGCAACATACGTACACATGTACACACGTTGGTATAAATATTTTTTGGCAGGCGTCGCTACATAAACCACTACCAACTGCTGCTCCTGACCCAAACTGTGAAACTGTGGCGCCTCCAATCTCCAATCCCATTTGTGGGCGCGGAAAGGGGAGTGGCTGCTTCGCTTCGCGGTTGTCTGGTTGGGTGCGTGGAGACAAAAGATGGGTCACGTGGTTTGTGACCCAGCATGGTCACGCAAAAAGATGAACGAGGCGGAGAAGCTCATTTCGGCAGGCAGAGGTTTGAATACCCTGTAAGCGTACAAATTAAAATAAATCAAGGACATAGGGTTGAAATGTTGTAAGCCAAAATATTCCTATTTTTCCATAAACTTTATGCTTAATTTTTATTAATATACTTGTATTACAGGGTTATTTTATTAAGTTGTATAACTTTCGAATTTATGTTAGGCACGAAGGGAAATCATCAGTTTACATCTTAAGTACAGTATAAATTTTAATTAAAGTGCATTCCGTTATTGTGTGGGGTCGAAAATCGATATTGACCGTTTACTCTTTGCCTGCTGTTGCCTTTGTTTCTGATTCCGCTGCGTGGACTTACATACATTAATTTAATTTCGTAATTGGCCGTGGGAAAAGTGTCCGCAAATCAAACAATTAGCCACACATATGCGTGCATCACATTAAAGTGTTAAAGATATTATTCACGAAAACAATGTACTTTTTCATCGCGTGATTTATCGATTTTGACAATGTTAATTTTGCCTCAAAAGGCATAACGCTTAAATTAATTCATGTAACATTAAAATCTGTATGTCATATATTCACATTCATACCTTCTCTTACAACACATAATTATTAACCAAGGATGTTTCCTATTTTTTCAGGTATGAATGCATCTCCAGCATAATCGGGATATTCACGTCGAGAGCGTATTATATTTTAACTCAGAAAGCATTGGTAAGCTTCGTCGTTAATAGTTGTATAAAATAGCTTTAACCTATATAATTTATACATATCTATAACATTTCCTTGATGTTTGTTTGAAAATATTACGAAACAGTTCTAAAACTTGAAAAGCAACATAATATTGAAACAATTCTTTTATTTATTGAAGAACAAGTCATATGTATTTTTCAGTGACAATTTGTTGGCATTGTTTAGTTCTAAAATCAAATAAAAAATCATATAATATCATATTGAACACATTAAATATCTCATTGACAAACGAAATGTACAAATGCGTACATATAGACGTTATTTATGGTGCAAATACCACCCTCGTTCCAAACAAATAATAAAATTTAAATGGTTTAAGTGGCTACCAGGACGGCGAACAAAAAGTCACACAGTATAAATATGCGGTATACGTTAACAGCATTTAATAACATTGATTTATTTGTGGCAATTGCTCCTTCATGAAATGATAGCGACAGCTATAACTGCATAAGCAGCATCGAAGCCAAAACTTTGTTGACACATCGATGAAATATTGTAATGCTAATAAATAAATCTTATGCCGAGGTACACGAAGTACGCATTTTGCGCAATTCGAAAAGAAATTCATTTGAACTTATCTTCATGAAACGTGAATCTATCTATCTATAATAACCAATGTCTTAAAACCCTAAAAAGGTTATACCCATATACATTAAGTTTCAGGGAAATAAGGTGGAATGAAGTAGTTACTTTCGAATGGGCGGGTATTTATCAACTTTGTGGCGTCTTATTTAGGCAAAGGTTGTTGTGGTAAATTATGTCTGTTTGTGTTGCTTGCTTTGAAACTTCATCTGCACTTGAAACGGCTTTCAGTGGCTTTACCAACCACTCCGCACATTTTGCTTACTTTTTGGTGCTTTAATTAAATACATTTAACAATGTATATTCATTAATTTCAACAGTTTTTGCTGCTAGCTGGGGTTACTTATTGTCTGCCAACTTTTCCCGCTCTTCCCCCTTTCCCCTTTCACCCATTTCACCATTACCATTTATATTAGCTCCTGCGTAGCGCAGTCCTGTACTAAGCCACTCCTCACACATTTCCCCAGCCGAATGGTTACTTTGGCACTAATTTGCACACCCACCCACTCGCACCACACGCGTTGTATTTTTAATTAATATTTTCTGAGCTGCATTATCCGCCACTGCGGCATGCAAAGGAACAATTTATGACCACCCCAGACGGACTGGAGCTCCTGAAGTTGAACACTGTAATGCGCGCCTGACAAATGATCGTGATCAGCGAAAAAATGGGGCAAATCCTGCATTGCCCTTACACTTGCGCGACTCGGGCTTTTCAAGCGGCTTATAGGGGGAACAATAATGCAAATTCTCTTATAAATATTTAATAGTTCATATGGTCTGCAGATTTAACTAGCCTCAGTGTATATATTCTGTGTTATACACTCCAAAACGCTGGGAGCTCAAACTCATTGTTGTGTGGAAGGAAGAAGAAAGTTTTATTTTAATTTTTTCTTTTATATATTCATATATATATATATATTTTTATTATAGTTAATTAAATTGTTGTACAAGAGTGTCCATAATTCGATGCCACAAATGGAGAGGGAGTAGCAGGCTGTTGGCCATTAGTCCACACGCAGGTCATATAGTATAAATGTACATACGCGCTGTTATTTACTCATGTAAATAATCCCGGGTAATTTAAATATTAATAAATTAAGCTTCACATGGGCACACCATTAATATTTTTATTTTTATAGAGCCATTGCTTGTGTGACAAGCGAAACTGTAAACATTGTGCTTTCCAAACGACAATTGAGTTCTTAATGTTTAATGACAGTGGGCACTGGGGTTATCACTGTACATTTTCCCCTTAAAAAATAACACTCTTCAGTCATCAATCTTATTTTAGCTCAAACATAGCAATATACAAACCAAGCTCAGAACATGCCCGACTGATATGCGGCTATCAATGCAGAGGTAGGGTTTAATCTGTAGTTTAAAATATCTCTGGGTGTTCGAGCGGGTCAAAAAATCAACATTTTTTCACGACATCATAATCCAAGTCATGTCCGAATTCTTAAATTTGTGCGTGTGAGTGTGCGTGTTTTCTTTTGCCGAGCGAGTTTCTCCAGCTGTCAAATGGGCCTCAAAATGGAGTGTCCTTTGCCCAGCCTCCGCTCCTTGGACTCGAGTGACAGCACGGAGTGCTCCACATTTTTGGTTATGGCCACAGGGAGCGTAAAATATGACCGGTAATGAGTATGGGGTGTCTGAAGGAGCAGGAGCAGGAGCAGGAGCAGGAGCGTATCCTTCGACTTCGACTTCGACTGTCACGTTTGCAACAAATGGCGCATGGCACGCAAAGGGCTAATGTAATTCGTGTATTTTACTTGATTTCATGTTACGTGCACAATCGGCCAAATTGCAAGGCATCGAACCAGGGCTAAGTTGCCTTGAGTTGGCTCCTCAGGCTCACAGCCCGAAAACCCAAAACCAAAACCAAAACCAAAACCAAAACCGTAACCATAACCAAAACTGTAACTCCGGGGTACTTTCATTTTTGGGTTGACACTACGGCCATGGCCAAGGATTGCAATTGGAAAGTGGCACCAAATTGGGCAACAGGAGCAGGAAATGCATGTGGCAACCAGCCGAAGATCCAGATTCTCCGACTGGGATTGCAGGTGGGTACGTGGATAGGATGAAATGGTGGCACAACGAGTGGATAGCAGGAGCACCGCGACGCATTTATTAGCATTTTTATGTGTACACTTTTTCGAGAACTTTTTCAGCATTTCTGATTCGGCGAGGCGAGGCTATTAATTAAATTTGAGAATTGAGAGGTGAGTGGGATGAGTCTGAAACTCAACTGGATTTGGCATGGGAATGGGTCTAAGACTGGCACAGGGACTGGGCTTTGGGGAGTAGTCAGGGTAGTCAGGGTAGTCAGTCGGTAGATGGTGAAAACTTGTATAATTTTACTCGGCTCACTCTTTGTTGGCATTTTTGCTACTGCTACTTCTACGGCTTTTCTGCTGCTCATCTCGTTGCTGGCTAAAGTTGCATTCAAAATTGCAATTTTATATGCACAACGCTCACCACCAACTTTGGAAACAATTTGTGACAGCCTTGAGGGATAATCGAGTGGCCCAGATTGAAGATGAATTCAATTTGGTTGTCAAAGATGTGCTGCCCACTTGATTAAGTAAATGCCCTCGCCTGGTTGATTATCAATTTGAGAAATAGGAAAAACCAAAAAGTGAAAAAATTAATAACAAAGCATGATTTTTTCCACTTGAAATTCAATTACTGTGCTGTGCATTATTTAGTAATTGAATTATCTGCTTTCCATCATAAATTATAACCCGAAGTATCATAGATGGAATTTCATTAATAAGAATGACATATTTATATTGCTTGCCATTTCTAATTCGGTAAAAGAACTTTGCCCTGGAGAATTCTCCTCAATCAGCGTCGAAGGTTGTTTAATTCAGGTGGCATAAGAATCCTATTTCAACGAGTCAATTTAATCAAGCTGTAGAAACTGAAATGTGTGATGGACCAACTATTCTGCAATTAACACATGTTGGCAAAAGAAAAAATAGGCAAAACACAAGAAAACAGCGACGAGGGAAGGAACATAATTGTTTTTTATACATTTTACGGTCGCTTGGCTAAAAATTAATTTTATTTTGAAGGCGGGATGACTGGGGGTGGTACTGGCACTCAGGAATTTTGAAATTAAGCAATCTGAGTAACCAGAAACGCCAGCCCCCCTCTGCCCCCCAGCCTTTCCGTCTCTAATTGTTTTTTAAATACGTCTCAAATGCTCTCTATTTCAAGTCGAGAAACGAACAAAGCGCAGCGCCAGCAAACAACAAACAACAAATGCAAAGCACAACTTCCACGACAGCCGCCGAATCATTGAAAGCAAGTCTTTGCTTCAGCTTCTTGCTTTTGCTTTTGCTATGCTCTTGCTTTTGCCATGCTTTTTTGCCGCTTGCCTCGAAAATGGGGCGTGACAGAAATGAGCACATAAGTGTCATAATCACACACACAGCTACACATGCATTTGCTTACTTGAGCTACAGATTTACCTTCAAGTGAACAGCTCAGCTTTTTAACACTTTTACTTTCAGCAATACTCAGCAGTAGGCAGCGGGGGGCAGGGCAGGGCAGGCGAAGCGCCAACTCATTTAATTTGATGCCCCCCCATCCGCCCACGCCCCTTGCCATCCCCAAAACCCATTCCAATCGCCCAACCACCCAACCACCCACCACCTTCTTCTCGCGAAGCCGTTGCCTAATTGTCGTCTATCTCTAGTCGACAGTCGTGGCCCATAACCGCCCTCCTACCACCCACCACCCACCAGGCACCACCCACTTGCCACCCCACTGCTGTTTGCTGTCTCAGCGCAAAATGTTGCTGCTCTAATTAGAATGAAACAATTTTCATTTCATTCTACATTTTCATGTTGTCGTCGTTGGCATTGCCATGCTGCTTCCACTTACTGCTTGCTACACGGATAAAAAGCAGCTCTCGGCGTTAATTTCGTATTTATAGGTCAAATTGAGATTTGCATTGTTTGTATCTTTTTAATCAGTAATTAATATCAAAGAAATATGCCTCAGTGCTGGAGCTGGCAAAATTGTTTCCCAAATGACGCCATTGGCCATTTTGACACTCATACTTATGCCTGTATGCGGTTATTTTGTTTTAGATGCTTTCTAACCACAAATATAATGCCAACAGAAATCACTTTGTTTCTGATCAATCAATTATTTAGGTTGCGAAAAGTGTGCAGCAAAAATACGAAATGTTGAGCCAGGATTCCAAAGTTTCAAAATATCACGATAGGATATTGAACGTGTGCGCCTAAAAGTTTGCAACAAATAATGTTTGACCATGTTGCTTGGTGATTTTTTTTTGTGCTGCATACTTTGTGACACTTGCCTTACAAAATGATGCGTAAAATCATGAAACGGATCACAAT